GGGGTCCCTGCCCTCCCGGAACCCTGGAAGCTGTCAGTGCCGTGATTTACACACAAATGCTCTGGGAGTTTTGATGGGTGACATGGAGGCCTATCCAGTGGCATTAGTTTGCTGCTTGTTAAGAGCTCAGCCTTAAGGTGGAAAATTGGGACCTCCACCCCTGTCCCAGATACCAGTACTTTTCGACCCTGGACTCAGGTTTCCCACGTCACTTGTGATCGAGGGCCAGGAGAGGAGGCCGTGGCCGCTCGGACTGAGGCTGGGCTCACATGCGGGAGGGGCTGCTGGAAGCCGGAGCTCTGTCCTGGGTGTGCCCGTCACCCGTGCTCAGGGGGCCCACCTGGGTATCCCGGCTTGCAGCCTCACGGCCCTGAAGCTTGCGGTCACTCGTGTTTCCAAGCACCCGCAAGACCAGGCCCCGAGACAGTCTAAAACTCGACAGTTAAAAAAGTTTTTTTAAATCTCTGCATATAGTGTTTCCTGAGATGCTGCGTGCGAATAGGTAGTTTCAGACATGTGATAGCCACATGCAAAGAACCGCCGTTGAGACAGCTCCAAGTTTCCTTTTTCTCCTCAATCACCAGGGTGCGCACGCCAAGCCCACTGCATTTCTAAGGAGACAATCCATTTCTCCTTTGACCAGAGGGAAAGAAATCATTATTACATGATTAGTGGCTTCGGCTAGGTGAGGAACGGCAGTGGCAGGGAACGCGGCGAGGATGAGTGGTATTAATTACCTAACGCTTGCTGGCAAGATAATTTTATCAGTGATTTGGCCATTGGTAAGTTGCAGCTTTGGATGAGAGTGGGCAAGTTCTTAGCTACTGGAAACAGGAGGGAAGGGGCCGGTGTCAGATGAGATGCATCTCATCAGCTTTTCTCTGACAAACCAAATTCATTCCTTATGTAATTGATAACGGCCTTGGCCAATTACTTCACACATTACAATACACAGAGGCCCCCTTTGCAGGTTTTGCAGGGCTGTAATTAGCGATGCTAATACCCCCTTTATTGGCCCTAATACTGTTCAACACCTTTTGCCATCCTGGAACCCACTAGAGCCCCATGGCCTGTCAGGACCGCTGATTATTGAGAAGGATAGCTTTAATCAAACATAATTGCAGTTAATTTTTCTCTCCTGCTCTCTGTTGCCAGCGTCTAATGCCACGGACTCCTTGATATTCCATTAAATTACAATTAAACAGCCTCCTTTGTTTCTGATTGTCCTGAGCAACACCACAAAGTTCTGTAGCCGCTTAAAGGAGAGTGTTTGGTCCTAATTGCCTGCTGGCCCACAAAGGGCCAATTTACACAATACCCATGTAGAATTTAAACAGTTCATAATGTAATGGATATTACACAGGAGCCTAACACTACAATTAAAATGATTTTCATCAGATAGAGAAGCCCTGGTTAATCAGCTTCATAAAAGTAAATATAAATGAACTAATTCATAGCTTAAACACACAGAAGGGGAGCAGACTTTGAAATCGGTTACTGAGGTGAGGGCTTGCCCCTTATTGCGTGATAAGCCCCCAGAGTGGGCTCCAGCTAACACGGTCAGTCCTGCTGTTCGAGCCCCGCTGAAGGTGCCCGTGTCCTGCCGCTGAGCACTTCCGGGGGCACTGGCATTATTGGGGAGGATGCTGGCACAAATGCCACCGAGACCAAGCTGAACTTTCTGCTGAGCATAACTGTCCCTGCAGAAGGGAGGGCGGCCTTGGAGTCTCCAGCTCAGGCTCAAGCTCTCAGTGGCTGGACCCAGAAGCTCCCCCATCCCTGCCTCCCAGATAGAGGGCCCCTGGGTCCATCTTCACAGGATGCCCCAGAGTCGGGAGAGGCAGCCTGTTGTTACCAGCTCTCCTGAGAGCGAAGGAGATCACCCACGTGGCTTCTCTGCTAATCCCCGCGCGCCCTAAAAGAGGAAACCTGACTTCCAAAGTCATGAGATCACACCTTTCCCCCTTCTAATCGCTGCTGAGAACTTTCCAGGATTTTGTGCACTGTTTCCGAGCGGAACATTACTGGGGAGTTTCGACTGATGTGTAGCAGTTTGCCCTGAGCTGCTGCTTCCCCTCCTGCCTGGGAGAAACAAGTAAATAAAGCCCATATTTCAAGCTTGATTTACTCTGGTACCTGCTGTGAAAGATGATGACTCTTTAGGGAAATAAAGACAGGGTCAGGGAATTAGTGTACATAATGGTCATTTTGATGATGGGCCAACAGATGCAGCCGGGAGCACACTGTACACAATTAAGCATAATGTACTAATGACAGGTTAGAATTTTTATCGCCTCTTTCCCATCGAGCAGCAAATCCATGGTTAGCAGTAATAAAGAGTTTATTGGTGTTAAAGCCAAAGATTTTCTGACATAGGAAAGATTTTTCCTTTCATAACAAGAGTATTAAATCCTCTGTGTATCAGACTTTAGAAGTGAGATATGTAAAGTGCCTGTCAGATATTTCTTAGAAAAAAAAGCCAATTAAAGGGTAATTGAGTAAAGGATGAGAACTACCATTTGACTTCACGCGTCCGCGTTCCTTTCTCACCCTACCCGAATGCCCCAACGCCAGCGAGCCCTCGCTAGCAGAGGCACACGCTCGCCCCGGACGTGACGGTGCGCGGGGTCGGGAGCCACGCACTGGCTGGACCGTGCCGCCCACCTCGAGGAGGCCTGATTGAATCCTCAAGAAACCGAAATGAGGGTGAAAGCTAAGCGCAAGGCTCCTCTCCCTCCATAAGGTCCCAACCTGCGTCCTTTCCCACGCACGTTGGGCCTTATTTCGTTTGTGTAATTGGGGCCCGAGTGCCCGGGAGGGATCCTGCTCTGTAGGGCCGGACGCTCCAGACCTGCAGGGCTTTCTAAGTCCTCTCGCTGCTTTTTGAGAAACTTTGAAAAGAATCCTACCATTGCCTAGGCACCCAAAACGTGTGTGTGTGTGCGTGCACACGCACCCAGCTGCTCCGGAGTTGACCCCGAGATGCTCGGGGTGGTGAGGGGGCCCAGCGCCCAACTCTGCCCATTTCTGCAGCTGGTGGTAGTGAAGGCCCACGGGGGCCAGGCCGCTCACGCCTACAGTGACCATGCACGGCGAGGGCCATTCAGGCTCAGTGCCCGCTCTGCTCTTCGGGAGGTGAAAGGGTGAGAGCTGGCTAAAAAGACATCACGGAATTTAAAGAAACCTCCTCTGGAGTGGGCAGAAATCAGAGCACACAAAAGCTCCCCCAGTCGGCTCCATGCAGATGAGTGGCTCCGGCCGGCGCCTGCCTGGACATTAGCTGGGTGGTAATGTGAGGCGTAATTGCGCCATGTGGCTGCCCCCAAAGTGAGAACCTAATTGCCTGACAGGACGATAACTTTGTGACGCCCTCACCTTGTTAGGCCCTCATGCGGTTGGGCGCAGGGTGGCCGCAGGTGCGCTTAATTTACCTCGCTGCAGAGTGCGTGGAGCTTAATTGCACCGTGGTTGTTAGAAATTGGTGGGTGGACGGCCGGGCAGCTTACTGTATGCTGATGGCAGATGGTGTTCAGAGGCGCGGCAAGCTAAGTGTATAGGTGAGGCGAGTTAATGAAAGATGTAAATTCTGGCCTAAAATAGTGAGGCCGTGCGGGATGTAAGGAAATTTAATTAAGTGGCCACTATTCTTTTTCCCATCAGTCGGATTTTCCTCTGCCCTGGTGGAAAGTCATCCAGGGTATGTTGAGAATGCAGCTGGAGACATGAATCTCAGTCTCCCAAATCTTTTTATTTTCTGATATGATAATCAGCCGCAAGGAACCTTGACTGTCCGGTTGAAGTCAAGGAAGTCGTGTGAAACTTCATAAAAAATTAGTCATCAACCAGTAGGACAGAGGATATTTGGAAAGAAGATAGAGGAGACGTTTGTTTGTTGATAGCCTCGTGGACAGGGTGTCAGCCCAGAGGCCCCAGCTTTTTTGGGCTCAGGACGCGGGCGGCCTTCTCCAGACGAGCCAAGCTGGTGCGGGGCCGAGACCCCCTGTTCTCCCGTGGCTGGAGGTGCAGCCAGGCCTCCCAGGGTCCATGCGCTCCTGTTGTGAGCCAGAGGTTCCATGTTTGTCACAGAGCACGCGGGAATGGGGAGGACAAGGTGATGATGTTTCTGTCACAGCATCTCAACACTCTTGTCAGGACCCCTGAAACATCATGCTTCAGAGCAAGGCCAGGCCTTGGCGGGAAGCAGAAACAGCTCTGCGACTAGCCTCCCCTCCAACCAGGGCAGCGCCTGGTCCCCTCCCCCTAAGCGACGGTTTCCTTGCCTCATGGTGGGGGGAGAGGGGGGGTTCTTGATCGGTCCCTTAAAACCACACGTAGGTCCCTTAAAACCAACGACTTCACAGAAGTCGTTGCTGCCCTTGAAACAGCACCCCAGATCTTCTCTTAAGAGTCATACCTATTGTAACTTGAAAAGCCCATCTTTAAAAGCGTGTTTACCTAGGCAGTGATGGCCCCTGGGCTTGAGTTGCCAGGTAGAATTCAGCACGTCCAGTTAAATTTGAATTTCGGAGAAACAGTTTTTTTTTTTTTAGGATAGGTATGCTTTGGGACAGGCCTAGCCTAAAAAATTACTCGTTGTTTATCTGAAATTCAAATTTAACTAGGCATCCTGTGTTTTTATTTGCTGAAGCTGGCAGCCCTCTCTGGGGTGGACAGGTCCCCAGTGATTAATGGTCGTGCAAAGATCCAGGTGAGAAATGGCCAATTTAAGTCACGGTTGTTATTATAAAGCTTGGAAACCCCCAGCGTCAAGACAAATGTAAGTCACTGCTTCCTTGTGTGGAGATCTTCCACAGTGGCCAGTGGACTCAGAGGTGCCTGCCTGGCCTCTCCGCGTTCTCTCTCTCTCTCCCTATCGCCCCCTACAGGGCAGCCAGCAGGTGGTATGGGGGTCGGCTCCCCATGCAAGAGTGTCTTTCAAGAAAAGTCTGTGTCTTTTGTCTGATAACCCTAACAAATATCCATTTTTTGTATTTTTATAGATTCTTTCTAAAGTTTTTCCTCAAGTGCAATCAGAACTGTTTGAAGAATGCAGGCAACCCTCGGGACATGCGAAGATTCCAGGTACACGATTCTGGACCGTGGTCCAGACTTAACACTATGAAAGTTGAATTCCCTGATGATGCAGTTGTTCGGAAACCAACCTTTAGTTCTCAGGGGCTTGGGTGCAAATGAGCCAGGATGGGCTCATTTGAAAGAATATTTAAATCGAACGCTTTAAAAATGATCTGACACCTCAGTCCGCCAGAGTCATGGAGCCCAGTCGTGGCCCGTGACCAAGTGAAGCTGTCACCTGAGCTTTCGCTCTGATGACAGGGTGTGCTTCTGCCTCCTGGGGCAGTGCACACCACCCTGGTCCTCTGTGTCGGGCTGCAGGGTACCCCGAAATCAGAGTGATCAGGGCTGTGGGTTAAGGTGGAGTCTGTCTTACATTCAGTCATGGTGAGTCCTGTGGGTGTGTTTCAAAATGACTGTTGTAGGATTTTTGCAAGTAGAGTCCTCATAAGGTTAGCATCTCAGTTAGTCTGTTTCCTCACTTGGAACTTGCTGTTCATGCTTGTTCAGTTGGTTAGACCTTGAAGCCCATGCTGAAGCTCTTCCTTAGGGATGGATTGATCTGTGGTAGGGGAGGACCGCTAGGTAATATATGGGGTGTATACTCAGGACTGAGGGGGCTGCACCTGTTCCATGCAGGCCTCTACCAATTCCAGAATGTTTCCCCAGCTCAGCTTCCCTCCCCTGAGGCTGGGCTGTTCTCGCCTCCTTAATTCCACACCTCGGAGCTAGACCACGTTCCTGAACCCAGGCTAACTTGTCCTCTGGTTAGTTATCCTCAGATCAGAGGATTTCCCCTTGAGGAGAGGCGTGGAGAGCCAGTTGGGCTCAGGGATAAATTCTGATCCAGTCATGGTTTTCTTGCCTTTGTTTGTGAATGACTAGGAGGTGACTTCAGGGTGAAGGGTGCTCAGCAAACATGATGGATTGTTTTGCTGATTTTAATTGTAAAACTCTCTGGGCTGGGACCCAAAACCAGGTGGCTCCTGGTCCGTACCCACCAGAGGAGAATTTGGGAGCTCGCTGCTAGGTTGGATGTTACCAAATACTTCTTTGGGATTTAGACTAGTTTACCATCAAATCACTCGAGGCTTTTTTTAAGAAATGTAAGTTATGCTTCAGTCTTCAGGCGAAATGTGACATGTGTCTTGACATCCAACCAGCCAGTCAGAGCGGTGGAGCCGGCGGACCCGCCGACAGTCGTGCCCTGACCCTGGGGGCGGTGTCTCTTGCAGACAGTGGGGCGGGGCTGCTGCTTCTCGCGCGAAGCCTCACGTTGATCCATCGAGCAGAGTGGAGGTCACACACTGGCTGGCCAGTGGCTGAGGCAGCGTCAGTCGCAGGTGGAGCCCGCAGTTACTAGAAGGACTTCCTCCCTCTCTTTAGCTAATCTCTCTGCCTCTCAGGAGGTTTAACTGGACTTAACAGTAGATCAGGGCTTACACGACGTTTCCAGCGGGCACCACGATCTCAGCACCTTTCTGTAGGTGCACCGCAGGGCTGGCCCGGCCGAGAAACAAACACAGCTTGTCTGCTTTCTCTGCTCAGCTATGCTTTTCCCTTGGTGACTGACCTATATAGAGATGACAGAGCAAAGACAGTGTCCCTTTTTTTTTTTTTCTTTTTTTTTTTTTTTTGCGGTACGCGGGCCTCTCACTGCTGTGGCCTCTCCCGTTGCGGAGCACAGGCTCCAGACGCGCAGGCTCAGAGGCCATGGCTCACGGGCCCAGCCGCTCCGCAGCATGTGGGATCCTCCCGGACCGGGGCACGAACCCGCGTCCCCTGTATCGGCAGGTGGACTCTCAACCACTGCGCCACCAGGGAAGCCCGACAGTGTCCCTTTTTATTTTTATTTTTACCCTTTCTTGTTTCTTTAACTTATCACGGTCTAGGAATGTAAAGAGAATCAAGTCTGCGGCTCGGGGTTAGTCCTGTGTCTTTGCACCCCATTCGGGGGAAGTGTCAGTAGAGGTCCCCCTGTGCCCAGGGCGGGGCCTGGTGGACAGGCTGCCAGGAGGGTGCCTTTGTGACCCCGGCAGCCCTGCGTCCCCTGCGTAGAGGCTGCCAGGCGAGTAGTGGCCCCAGAGTGGGGTCAGAGCCACCCGTGCAAGGGCAACGGAGATAGTTGAGAGAGATGACGCTGAGACGTCTGAGCCTGCACCCGGGGATGCTGGTCGTGGCACTGACATTATTTCGAGGCACAGAGGGGCCTGATGTTGTGGAGACTTTAACGATCTTGGCAATGCCCACAGCCAGAGAGAGTCATCTGGGAAGGTGTCCCCTTCCTTTGCGGGGCTGTGGGTGCAGTGGGTACTGGTCCTGCTTCACAGGCTTCTTGTGGGGCCTGAGATTTTTATAAAAAAATCAATTACTCACAGATGTATTTACATATAAGTCTGCAGCTTTGCTTTTTAAAAAATCGTATTTATTTACAATCACTTTTATGTATCATTTTTTTCTTAACTAGTAGACTTTCTTTTTTAGAGCAGTTTTATTTCGGTTTACAGAAAAATTTCACAGAAAGTGAAGAATTCCCATGAGCCCCTGGCCTCCCTTCCCCCCCGACTCTCCTCTGTTATTAGCATCTTGCATCGGTCTGGCTTGTCATTAATGGAGGTCCACTGTAGCTGTGGCTTTGAACTCACCATACGTGGCATGCCTTGACGTGTGCCCACCCTCCTGCCCAGCTTTTCTCCGTGGGGTCGTGGTTCTCTACGTGGTGCCAGCCCTCTCCACTGCCCAAACGTGGCAAAGAACCAGGCTCTCTCCACCCCAAATCCAGGCTCCGGCCCCCAGGTCCTGATGTAAGACCCAGACTGAACCTGCGCTCACATCTGTGCTACCCCAGCTATTCTGGAAATAATGCAGTATACAGACCCGCCTCTGTTCAAGGAAACTCTCAAGGCTGGTGTAATTTCCTGTTTCCTGGGTCCATTAGGTAGGGGGTGCCATTTCTGGGGTGCTTGTTCCAAGCTCCCCTGGGAGGACGTCTGGGGTCCTCAAGGCCGTCCCTGCCAGTGTGACTTCCTTTTTTACTTCTGTGAAGCCCTGAGCATGTGGGGGAGCCCGGCCCCCATCTCTTCCCCGGCCACCCCGAACCTGGACCTCAGGGCCGTGCCTTTCCCTCCAACAGGATCACACTCCCTTGGTAGAGCAGGTGCTAGCCATCCTCGCCAGCCTTCACCATGAACTTGAGAAAGGGTACTTTCCCTGCACTGAAACCATTTTATTCCTATTCAACTTGGCCTTTTCAGATGCAAAAACGTTCATTACCAGACGTTGGATGTAATTGTGACATTGACCCGGGGATCATCTGATGATAGGATGTGGGTAGCAGAAGCCTTTTTTTGGGAGGGGGGCAACTCTGAATCCTCATAACTCTTCCAGGAAGGACAGTCTCCAGTGAACTCATTTTAATTAGATAAACTATCTAATCAATATGTGAACAGATCAATCAAAATAGCAGCTTTCAAATGAGTGGCTGGAGGGGGTGTCTCTGAAGCTAATGGTGAGAAGAATATTTCTGTGGATTGAATTCACTTGTTAGCATAACAGGAGATTAAACTGTAATTAGTGCAGCGGGTCTGGAAGAGAAGCAATCGTGAGTCACAGCAAAACTGCCCACACACCCCGTTAGCCAAAAACGCTGTGCGCGCACGTGGCCTCGAAGGGGATCCGGGAGCAGGAGTGGGTGCCCGGCTCGAGACCTTGGGGGCTGGCTTGCCGGGCACCCCTGAAGGGGCCTGACACCTGGCAGGGCCCCGCCTCCACCTCCGACTCTGCTTTCACCTGCGCTTGTCTCTGCAGGTTGTCGTGTCGACCACGGTCAACGTGGACGGCCACGTGCTGGCTGTGTCTGACAACATGTTTGTGCATAACAACTCCAAACACGGGCGGCGGGCCCGCCGCCTGGACCCGTCAGAAGGTACGGCCCCTTCTTATCTGGAAAATGGTAGGCACATGCTACATGCCTTTTTTTTAATTTGCAATGCTTCTCTTTCTTTGTGCCATCCTTTCTGTTGATTCATGCCCAGTTACTCCCGCCAGGCCCCCTCGCTGGTCAGACCCCCGTCCCTGGGACAGAGCCCCCCCC